GATATGAGGAGCCTCATGATCACTTCAGATTGGAACAAGTTAAGTTTCAGAAGATGACTTTGAAATTAAGTAAGAGGTTCTGAAGACAGGTAGAGACATATGGAGCTAGAGCTCAGAGAAAAAGTAGCATGTGAAAGAAAATAAAAATTGATCAAATGTAAAGTTTTTTTTAAAAGAAAAAAAAACTGAAACAACTTTAAATTCAATGTGACTTAACAGAATAAAAATTAAGGGATAAATTTAAGACACAGAAGGGCAAGAATTAATTGAATGAATTTTCTTTATTAAATACTGGCTTCCCTGGTGGCTCAGACAGGTAAGAATCCACTTGCAATGCAGGATACTCAGGTTTGATCCCTGGGTCAGGAAGATCCCCTGGAGAAGAGAATGGCAATCCACTCCAGTATTCTTGCCTGGGAAATCCCATGTACAGAGAAGCCTAGCAGACTACAGTCCATGTGGTCGCAAGGAGTCAGACAATACTGGGTGACTTTCACTTCACTTTATTAAATAGAGGTTGTAATCCACAATCTTGGAACCTGGAAGATCAGAAAGACGAAATACTCTAATCTGCTCATGGATCCCTTTCAGGGTCCCGTGGGAGGCCTTGACTTTTCTGTTTAGGAAAGGCAATATTCTTTCATAAAGATTTTCTAAAGAAGGACAATTCACAACCCTCCCCAGATCTCCTCCCAGGCCTCCACATTCACACATCTATCCAGCAAAGGAAGCAACACACTAGTTATATGAAGAGCGTGATCATTAAGTTTTGAAATCTGTTCTCTATTTGCCCCAACCATCATCATGGCAGGAAATCCATTCTCAAATTTTCATCCTTTCTACTTTAATACAAAAATATCTCAATCCTAGAATTGACTAATATTAAGACTAACCGGGAAGTGCCACTCCAATCCAGAACTACAAGAACGGTCATTCGTCACTGTTACATGTAACTGATAGCCTATTCTGGTAGACCAGGAGCTGGCTCCAAGCCACTAGACAAGCATCAGATATGTTCTCAATAAATTCAATGTGTGGCATTAAATGGAATCTTTTTGTTTTTGTTTCTTTAAGGAAAGGTAAGGTTTCCTAAAGTTATTCTTGGAAAGAAATTTGGGGGAAAGGGTCAGTGTAAACAAGGGCAGAAAAAAGCTCATTAAAGAAGTAGATACTCTTCAACTGACAGAAAAACCACTAAGTTTGAGAAGGATGCAGAATCAAATTGAGTGAAACACAGAAAGATATGTACCATTGGGGTCATCATAGAGGAAGTCACCCAAGCCACAAAGGCTTCTTTAGAGGCTATTAGGCAGTAGGGATGGAGAAGGAAATGGCAACCCACTCCAGTGTTCTTGCCTGGAGAATCCCAGGGACGGCGGAGCCTGGTGGGCTGCCGTCTATGAGGTTGCACAGAGTCGGACACGACTGAAGCGACTAGGCAGCAGCAGCTGGCAGTAGGGACTGTGGTCATCCCCAAAGGATGGACTATAAAAGAGATCCAATCCTCACAATGGAGTAGAAAGATGCTTATAAAGATATACTCAACAATTAGAGATTGAAAAATATTTCAGAAAACTTTATCAAAAAGCACAACAATCCACACTGGGGTTGACGGTCTTTAATTCTTTAAGACCCTGCGCATCTGGGGAAATCGGGGACTCTCTTTTCCTCAAGAAGGAGCTGAGGGGCAGACATGGACTCCACTAGGTCTGTCAGGCCTCTTTCTGCTTAATTATCATTCCTGCCTGGTGTCTGTCACAATCAGCAAAGACAAGGGTTCATCAATAGCCCTTCCCCAGCAATCAAAGGAAATCAATCCCAAATGTATGGTCCCACCTGATCCCATCAGAAGATCCCCACTCTTGCAAAAGGAAAGGACCTGGGAGTGACCCCAATGCAAGAAACCAGACCCTCCAATGTGACCCATTCCTTCTGTGCTCCTCAGGAAAAGCCAACCTACAGTCAGCTGGACAGAAGGGACGCCACACCCACCTTCGCAAACAGGAAAACCCTGGTCCTCCTGGCCTCCTGAGCCATTAAGATAGCATAACAACACAAGAGCCATGGGGAGCAGCCTCAGACCAGCTGCAGATGCCTAAGTTATCTTCTCACTGGGAACTAACTGCCTACTGCTTTCTATTGAACATAATTCATCAGCCAGATTAGAGCAGGTCATTCTGCAGCATATGAAGAAAGCAAGGCTGATAACATAACCTGACACATCAAAAATATTCTTCTGCGAACAGCCTGAAGAGCTGTTGTTTACAAAAAGCTGTGAGCAGGCAAAATAACCATACAGCCCACAGGTCAGTGGGCAGTCAGCCTGCTTATTGCTCCTCATTTCATTTTTGAGTAGCTCAGCACAACTGTAATTGGTAGTTAACAGACAGACTGGGTCGTGACTATCAAAAAAAAAAAATATATATATATATCCTCAAAATGACTCTGCCAGGAGGCAGAATAAATAAATTTGAAAAAGGGCAGGGCGGGGCGGGGGGCACTCCCAGCCACTCACTGGTCGAGGAACACTGGCTGTGAAAATCCCAGCACTCCAAGACAGGAAGCCAGCCCAGCAGCTGAGCGGTTTCTGATCTGCGAACCAGCTGCCTTTGATGTGAAGTTCTCCGTGTGCCTCCGATGTGAAGACATTACAACTGGGCAGTGCTGGGAACTTTCCCATCGCGGTTCACTGTGTACAGAAACTGGCCCCAGCACCATTCACTGTCCGAGTTCCGAAAAGGCAACGGGGATTCATGATTAAAGATCAGCATTCGCCTAATTCTGAGAGGCAACTTTTCTCCTGGTAAAACGCAAAATGCCCTCCCCCCACTCCAATCCAAGGGGTAAAAATGCACATCAAAGCGCTAAAGTTACTATGCATTTTTTGCCTTTGTCTCTTGGCGCCCTGGTTTTCTTGGCTGTCCTTTATTCTCTCACTGCTCAGCTGCTCCAATTTAGGAATAAGAACTCAAAAAAAAAAAAAAAAAAGGAGCAGTTGGCTTGGTGCTGTTTCCAGGATTCTGCAGAATCTCAGTCTATCTCTATCCTTCCTTCCCTCTCTTCCATCCCCTCCCTTTCTTTCCTTCTCAGATTCAAATCTCCACGTCACAAACCAGAACGCCATTCAAGCCTTCCATAAACGTTAAGAGAAGTTCCGCGCCTGCCAGGGGAAGCGAAATCAGGGCTGACTTTGATCGACACCGAGAAGGGGGTACCTCAGTCCTCGGTTCCTAGATGGCGGGTTTGCCCGGTCCACCACCTAGCCCTGCCGCCCGGATCCGGGGCAAAGTCGTACGCAGTCTTTCTGGCCGGTTCTCTGCCTCTCTGCTCGTATTTTAACTCAGCCCGGGCGCAGCAGAGAATCTAATCCCAGCAACAAAGCCGGGGGCGCATACCCGCCGTGATGAACCAGTCGGCCTGCCCGCCGCCCCCTGCCTCCCACCCCCGCGACTTGCCTTTGAAAAGACAGGCGTTGGGGCCAGAAAAGGAATATGTCCGAGGCGAGGAGGAGGGAAGCGGCGGGATACAAGTGTCCGGAGTGCTTTAGGGGTCGCGGTTTGTTTACGTCTCTCTTAAACACCCAGGACCCACGGAGGTGAGCCCGGGCAAGTCGGGCGCCCCACGAGAGTCGCACCGCCCCGGGCGCCGCGCAGACCGCTCGCCCCTCGCCCACCGCCCGTCTGGCGGGCCCGGGGTGAACGGCGGAGGCTCGCGCGGATTTGTCTGACACTTGTAAATGGAAGTGGGATCCAACTTGGAAAACAAACGCGCCGGGGTCTGGGGGCGGGGAGGGGCGGGAGACGAGGGAGAGGAGGAGAAAAGCTTCTTCACCAGGCGGCGCGCCCCGCGCTCCCAGCCGGCCTCCCGCCGCGGCGGCTGCAGGTTACCCGGCCCCGAGGCCGAGCAGGGACCGGCGCGCGGGGCGCGGGGCGCGGGGCGCGGGACGGGCTGGGACGGCAGACTGGGCGAGCCCGGGCTACCGAGCGCCCGCTCTCCAGGCCGCCGGCGCCTCTCGCTCCCGGGAACCTCGCCGAGCCCCACGCCAGGTCCCTGCAGGCTCGCTCCCTCAGTCCTCAGCCTTCCAGGGATCCCCTTCCACTGCCAGCTCTGCCCCCATTATTACGTGAGCTACAGCCGCAGGATGCCGCCAGCACACGCGCGCACACACACACACACACACCACACGGCCTCCTTTCCTCTCGTCGCAGGCTACCCCGATGCTCGCTGATCCCGCAGCCACACTCCCGCCACCCCCGCGTCCTTCCCCCAGCGCTCCCCAGCCCACAAGAGCCGGGCTGGGAAAAGCGAACAATGAAAGTTGCTTTCGCGAAGCCTCATCGCTGTCCCCGTTCAACCGTCTCGGAAAGCACACGCGACACGAGTCGGCGGGAGAGGGGAGAGAGGAGTGCAGACCACAGCGAGGCTAAAAATCCCCGGGCCCTGCGCCCCGCGCCGGCCTGGGGGCCCGATGCACTTTAGCTCAGCGACCCCCACTGGCGGAGCTCGAGCGCGCCGGGCGAGAACCCTCCCGGCCACCTCTGCCACCGCCTCGCCCGCGCGCCGCAGACCCCCGCCCTGACCCCGCAGCCACACTGGTCCCGGCGCAGGGGTCCACCCGGCACCGCCTGGGAAGGGGCCTGGAGAGTGGAGCTGGCGCACGCTCGCATTCGACCCACTCGGCAATGCCGGGAGGGCCGCAGCGCACCCCCCAGGACGCTCAGCCCCGCGCGGCTTTCTTTTCAAAGACAAGCCACCTCCTCGCACGCCCGCCAAAACCCGTGCTCTCCCCAGGCACTCCGTTTGCCTATCCCCACGGGAGCAGGGACAGTCCCACCTCCCCGCCACTCCACAAGAAAAACTGTCGCCCCGGTCCCAGAGTCGCGGCCGCTCGGTACACCTCACCCCACCCGACCCCGCACACCAGAGTCACACGCGGAGCAGACCCGCGGAATGTCTCCTAACCCTTTCCCCTCCCTGGTCAAAGTGGAGTCTGGGCTCTGCTACAGCCGGCGCCTCACCAGGCAACGACCCAACTTGAGCCTCGGGTCCCCAAGTGCATCCTTTGGCTTCTGAACATCCCTACAGCGCCCCACCAGCAGCAGCCACCGAGCAGGCTCGCCGCCTGGCCCTCCGATCCACCTGCAGCGGGCAAGCAGCCGGGAGTCGGGGGCTGGGTGCACCGTTCTGCAAGCCGCCCCGCGCCCCCTTTTCCAAATCCTCAGCCCCAAACTTGGCCAACTCTCCATGCCAGCCTCCCGGCTGCCGCCGCCAGACCGAGCCTCCTTCCCCTCCTCCTCGCGGCGGCAGCCAAGGCTGCCGAGCCGTGCCGAGGCAGGAACTTTACCAGGTGAAAAGTTTCCCCCGTGCGCCTCGCCGGCTCTCACCTCCCCGAGCCCCCCGAGCCCCCCGTTCCCATCCGGCAGCTGCAGCTGTGCGTCTGGCGGCGCCCTCCAGCCGGGACACCCAGCAGCCAGACCACGGCATTCAAGATGCCCACGCACCCTTGCCTCCGCCGGCGACGCTCCGCTCCACCAGGCGCTGTCCGCGGGCTCTTCCTCGGCCGGCGCTCCCGCCCGGGCCGAGCCGGCCACCCGGCCGCGGCCGCCGCAGTGCCCGCCGCGCGCCCGCCGGGGCTGGAGCCGCTAGCAGAGGCGCTCGGGACGCCGCCGCCACCGCGGGGGCTCGCGGGCGGAGGGGCGAAGCCGGGAGTAGGGGGCCGGGGGCGCCAGACCCCGATCCACAGCGCAGCTCGCGGCGCAGCTGCCGGGAGGAGCGCCCGCTCCCGCGTCTGCTCCGAGCCGCCGCCGCCGCCGCTAGTGCTCGCCGCCCGGCTGCTCCGCGCTCCCCATCACCGCCGACGCCGACGCGCGGCCAAGCCCCTCTCCCTCGCCGCCCCCCTCGCGCTTCTCTCCCGCTGTCTCCTCCTCCCAAACCGCCGGCGCAAAGGGCGAGGGGGGAGAAGCCGCGCGGCCGGGATGACTCGCGGGCTCGGAGCGCCGCGGGCGGGGGGACGGGGGCGGGGGGACGGGGGCGGCGCGAAGAGCCTGAGGGTGCTCCAGGCGCCCGGCCTGGAAGCCGGGCTAATTTTAGAGCTTGGCTTCCCCAGCCGCTCTCTGGGGCTCCAGGATACCGAGAACGTGTCTTCCTGGCGCGGGTGGTGTTGGTGATGCTGGCTCCAGAAAGCTCGCCCTCGCAGCTCTCGGTCTCAGGCCCGCCACGGCCCCGCGCGAAGGTCTCACACGTGCCGCTCTCACGGGACCGGGGAGGAAACCGAGGCACGTCGAGGTTTACACGACCTATCTAAGATCCGGAGGTGACTTTGTAACTGGAAACCATCAGATGTTGCGCATTTTGATTCTATGTGTGCGTCCCAGACAGGGCTCCTGGTACTTGCCCACACATTTTTGGACCCTGGGGGTCCCCTGTGGAGAAAGAGTATCTTTCCGTGGCCCATCTTCTTCCCTTCCCGCAAATCGTTTTAAACCATTTTGGTTGAAAATGGAGGAGAGGTACTGTCAGTGGAATGAGGGAGTGACTTGGGGCTTGGTGATTTGCAACGCCAACCTGTCAGTCCGCCTGTTCCAGTAACTTCTGCGCCCTCGCTTTTCCCAGGATCCCAGACCATGCTCTCACCCCACCTGCCACGCACGCACTGTTGCTGCGGGGCTTACACTCACCCCCGCTCTGTGTATCCCGGCCTTTCTCCCCCCTCAAAACTGAGCTGCCATCTGAGCACCCCGGCCGCCTTTCCCACTCCCCATAGGCGGCAGCGCACTCTGTCTCTTAGGCAGGCGCACAAGCTGGCACCTTCCCTGGGATGCTCCCTGCCAGGCAGTTTCCCCCGACTCTACCGCTGGCATCACAGGGAGGTGCCGCAGGCCTGCGGATCTGTTCTCCAAAAGAAATCGTTACTTGTTTTTAAACCATAAAATTCTCCTTGGGGAAGGAGTTTGGGGTAGCTAATGGGGACTTTGTGCTCAGGCACCAGAGCGAGCCCTTGGAAGAATCAGCTGAGTCTTTCTTTCTGGGCCTCTGCCTTGTCCCACTGCACAGTAGCCCACCGCCCTCCGCAGGCAGAGGGCTTCCCGCGAAGGCCTGCAGCAGCCTCGCCGCCTTGACTGCCCCATAAAGTACAGCACGCTCTGGTCACCGCCTGGAGACTTTAATGTGAACGCTGAAGAACTAAGACGGCTCCCCATACATCAGGTAACTCGGAGGCCATCAGCATGTTGTTACCTAGGGCTTCCTTGTCGCGGAAGGCCGGGAGATGGGTCTGGAGGGAGGGAAAACCACCGACGGGGCTAGGAAGACTTTCCAGTCCTCCAAAATATTATCAATTGAATAATTTAGTTCTGATTTTATGTTTATGTCGTTAGCTTTCTAAGGCGTTGGGAAGTTTATTACATATGTATGTATATATATGAACATGTACATATGTACAAACATATATGTGTGTATGTATGTATATGGGGCTTCCCTGGTGGCTCAGATGGTGAGGAATCCACTTGCAATGCAGAAAACCCAGGTTCAATCCCTGAGTGGGGGAGGTGCCCTGGAGAAGGAAAGAGCAACCCACTCCAGTATTCTTGCCTGGAGCCTGACATGCTATGGTCCATGTGGTCACAAAGAGTTGGACACGACTTAGCAACTAGACAAGGATAACAAAGATATATATACAGTGGGTATCCATGTCCCTGGCACGACATTTTTCTTGTGACCAGCAGAATTCAGCTAACAGCATCAAAGGTTTTAACAAATCAGTGCATTTCCCAACCAGGTACTTCTATGGAAGTGCTGAAACAAGTTGGCTCCTGAAACCAGGCACTTTGGTCAGCTAGCGGTTGTTTGGCCACTAGGATGCTCAAGGAAAGAGTGCTGGCAAGGAGACAAAGCATCTTCCACCTTCTGCCTGGGAAGACTGCCAGGTGAATGTAGGTGTGGCTACTGCTACAGCTCCTACCCCTCCTGGATTTCAGCTCCTCAGAATGTTCTCTTATGCCTCAGAGGCACCTTACAGATAAGTACAGAAATCTGTCTAGGTTTCAGCCTCCCCTATCCCCAGGCAGTACATAGATAATAAAGTAAATAGTCTTCACTCCCTTGGAAGACATAAGCCATTACAGCAGGGGGTGAGACACTTCGTACAAGAATGATAAAGTGTTTTATCTAGTGGGACACCCCTCTGGTCATTTAAGATCTGCATAACATTTAATATACATTCTTAAAAGGCCGTTTTATTTCTTTAAAAGTGCCTACTGTGTGTTAGTACTGTGGTAGGCTCAGTGCTGATAACAGTACACTTTATGATAGCAGGGAATCTGTTTATAACATTTATGTTTCTATCCCAGTTCCCTACACGAGGCCCAACACACTCAATGAATATAGTAAAACTCAATAATATTCAAAGGGTAAACAGATAATGAAATCTTGTAATCGCCTGTTAGACCCAATGAATATGAGACATAGGATATAATTGAAAAAATACGAACCTATAAGAAAATAATGTTATGTTACTTGCTATATCACATCTCCCATTTTCCACTTCCTATCCTCAGGGCTCCACACGTGTCTTTTAGCCATTGCTGGAAGTTCTAAACAGGCTCCAGCTGGCTTCAGTCTGACAGTGTCTGACCCTCAACCTCTCTTACATCTTTCCTCCCATCCAGAGGCTTGTTGGTTGAAGTTTTGGTGTAGACTAAAGCCCAAAAAGAAGTGCAAGAGCTTAAACACTTGTGATAAATCTTTGACCAATGGGAGCCCATAGATAAATGTTCCCTTTACCATCCTCCAATAAAGCGTCCTGAAATGTGTTCCATAGAACTTCCTGGGTGGTCTTCCTGAAGAGCCAGGCTCCCGAAGCAGAGGCCAGCTTGTTAACACATCCTTGTACTGGCTCTCCATCCTTAGCTGGGTCCCTCCCGCTGTCCCTCACATGCTCCCTGAGGTCACACACCCCAATAAAGTACTTCAAGTAAGTCTGCTATCAGGCTCTTTGTTTATCATGATCCCAGAGAATCACTCACCATCAATCCTAAATATTTACATTAAGGAGCAAATGATTTTCACAATGTACTAAGTACACACACACACACACACACACACACACACTCTCTTACACTGGCTCCTCTTTGTGATCAATTAAATCCCACACAGATCTGTTCTTAATAATCTCATTCACTTTGTTTCTTTGCTCATAAAAAAATGCAGAGGAACTTGTCTGTCTCATTGCTAACCTTCCATAAGCATTTCAGAACAGTTTGCCTATTGGACTATTGAGAAACGTGATGGAATTTCTTCCCTGGAAGTACTTAATCAAAGGATAGGTGTTTGTCAGCTTGGGATAGGAGTGGATCTGTCCAGAAACTGTGGTACTAGGATGTTTTGGAAACAGATAAAATCAAGTTATATGATGGCAGGGAGTCAGTTTAGGGAGGTGTGAAATGAGCGGGCCCTGGAGGGAGGCAGAAAGACTGAGTTAGGAGCCTCGCTTTCCACCTTCACCTTCTGTATTATCTTGGATAAGTTACCTAACTTCCCTAGATTTTAGTTCCTACATAGAGAGCTTGGAGCAGTACAATGATAAAATTATTGTAAGAATGCTGCTGCTGCTAAGTCATTTCAGTCGTGTCCGACTCTGTGCGACCCCGTAGACGGCAGCCCACCAGGCTCCTCTGTCCCTGGGATTCTCCAGGCAAGAACACTGGAGTGGGTTGCCATTTCCTTCTCCAATTGTAAGAATAATAAGATAATTCATAACAGCATGTACTCAGTATATAATGAGTACCCAACAAATCTTAGCTATTATTGTTCTTTTAGAGACAAATCATTAGGCAACTACATTATCGCATCTGAGCTTAAAGTCAGTGCTAGAAGCTAGAACAGAGTTCAGACTTACTACAGTCCCTTCCATGCTAACATCCTGTGATACTCACTTCAGACCTGGAAGGGCATCTTACTATTCACCTCGCCAGTGAAGGCCAAACTTTTATTTAAATACAGCAAAATGATGTTCCAGATATTCAGTATCATGCAGTCCATAAACTGTGCGTGTATAAGGGGATCACTCACTGGTGGATGAGGGCATCTGTTTACAGCCTTTTCTGCGCCTGCTCAGATTTCTTCAGGAGGGGCTTGCCGAGCCGGTCTCTGCTGCTGCACAGGCCGTCCTTACCTCTGGTGAGTAGGGGCTTCACTAGTTGCGGCACATGGGCTCCTCACTGTGCTGGCTTCCCTTGTTGCAGAACATGCTGTGGATATGCGGGCTCCAGTAGTTCCAGCTCGGGGCTCTAGAATGCAGGCTCAGTGGTTCTGACCCTTGGGCTTACTTACTCCATGGCATGTGAGATCTTCTCAGACCAGGGATCAAATCCACGTCCCCTGCATTGGCAGATGGATTCTCAACTACCGGACCACCAGGGATAGCCCATCTTCCTTAGATTTCAAATTCACCTTTTGCAAGATTATGTATTATGATTAACAATGACATCATATAGTGTATGCATGAGTGCTCACTCAGTTGTGTCTGATTCTCTGTGACCCCATGGACTGTGGCCCACCAGCCTCCTCTGTCCATGGGATTTCCCACAGAAAAGTACTGGAGTGGGTTGCCATTTCCTCTTCCACGGGATCTTCCCGACCCAGGGATGAAGCCGTGTCTCCTGCATTGGCAAGTGGATTCTTCACCACTGAACCACCTGGGAAGTCCCCATATAATGCATATGTGACTAATTATAATTCAAATATTATCGTAGAAAAACGTTTCCTCATTTGACTCTGCATATTATAAAACAGCAAAGAATACAAATGAGATTTTGGATACATTTTATGCTTTTTGAGTCATGGACATCTTTGATCAAACTTACAGAACCTATTTTTAAAAATACACGTGTGCACACATATACATCTTGCTTTCTGTTTCAGTAGTTTATGAGTCCCTCTAAGGTCCCTCCAAAGAACCCAGATTAAGGAAAAGGTTGTGCATTAAAAATTATCCTGAAATTCAAGTTCTGTTTCTTCAAGATTTTAGTCACTGAGCTAGCATTGCTTTTGCAGATTTACTAGAAGGAATACGCAATATCTCAGGGTTTGGAAATGGAAACCCACACCAGTGTTCTTGCCTGGAAAATTGCATGGACGGAGGAGCCTGGTGGGCTACAGTCCATGGGGTCGCAAAAAGTCGTACACAACTGAGTGACTTCACTTTAGCTCCAGGGTTTGGAGGCATAAACCGTACGTCAAATGAACTTGGATTATTTCAAACTCTTAAGAACTTACTCTTAAAATAAACATGTATATCCAAG